AGCCGAGACCACCACCCAGCGGTGCGCGCTGGGACTGCGCCCGCCGCCGCCCGCTGCCCGCGCTGCCGCTCGGCCCGGCCCACGGACACGCGCGCACACGCGCGGTGCCGCCGCTCGCCCGCGGCTGAGCCCGGGGCAGGACGCGCGCACATCAAAGTGGGGATAAAAATGCCCGGGAGCAGCGGCGGGAGCCCTTCGTGGAGGTTCAGCGTACAAGTAGAGCCGGCGGCTGCTCCGCGTCCGTCCCTGCTCCTCGCTGTCCGCAGCCCGCGGTCTGGAGGGCTCGCTCCTCTAACGACAGGCGAGTCTGTGACCTCCGAGGAACGCAGCGGTAAGAGCGGCACAAGGCGTTTCTCAGGGCAGCGTGGGGCAGAGACTTTGTCCGGAGGGACTGAGACACTTTCCCCGGACGGAGAAACCGTCACGAGCCCTCCGCAGGTCCAGCACGCCTGGAACAGCAGAGGATGGCACTACAGCTACTGGGGAATGTCAGGCTGAGGACGGGGTAGGGAAGTTCCTCCCAGTACGGCTCAGGCATGGACGTGCCCGCCGACCGGCCAGCCCAGTGGCTGAAAGGGAGTAGCGGCTGTACTGCCCGCACAGACTTCCCTCTCGCAGGCGGACTGCGAGCTGCAGAGCGGATCTTCGTCTTTGTCTGGCCCCGTCTCAGCGCTGCTTTGCGGGCTGAGCAGGACGGGCCTCAAGAACTGAAATTCGCTCCTCCCCGAGCCGGTGGTCAGGCACACCTCGTAGCGGTAAGCCGGTGACAGAGTGCCCATCCCGCCCACGTCCACGCCGTCGCTGGCGAAATCTCCATCCGCGTAGCAATTGGCAGAGGGAGGTGAAAGGTGTGCCCGGAGGCGAGCCTTGCACAGCCTGGCTGTCACCAAGCCGATGACGGACAGGAGGAAGAGTGACGAGACGCAGCCCAGGGAGGCAATGAGGTAGGTGGTGAGCTGGTCCTCCTCAGCTACCTGCGGCTGCTGCCTGCTCGCAGGATCGTGGTCGAGCTGCATGGAGGCGTCGGAGAAGTCGTGCACCAGTGCGACAGCGAGCGTGGCGGTGGCAGAGCGCGGTGGCTGCCCGCGGTCCCGCACCAGCACAACGAGCCTCTGCCGGGGCGCGTCCCTCTCCGACACGGCCCGCGCCGTGCGCACCTCGCCGCTGTGCAGCCCCACGCGGAACAGCCCCGGCTCCGTCGCCTTGGCCAGCTCATACGACAGCCACGCGTTCTGCCCCGCGTCCGCGTCCACCGCCACCACCTTGGCCACCAGGTAGCCCGAAGGTGCCCAGCGCGGCACCAGCTCTCCCGCCGGGTTGCTGCCGGAGGGCGGGTGCAGCACCACGGGCGCGTTATCGTTCTGGTCCTGCACCACGATTCGCAGCACCGCCTGGGTGCTCAGCGGCGGGGAACCGCCGTCACTGGCGCGCACTACCAGCTCGAAGGCACGCACCTTCTCATAGTCCAGTGGGCGCAATGTCCGGACGGTTCCACTCTCCGCATCCACGGACACGAACGATGCCGTGACGGGGGTGCCCGGTGGAGGTGCCTCTATTGCGTATCTCACATGTGCGTTTTCTCCCGCGTCAGCGTCTGTGGCTCTCAGGCGGCCCAGGCTCGTCCCCGCCGGCTCGTTTTCACTCATCACCATGGTGTAAATGTCCTGGATGAAGGTGGGCGCGTTGTCGTTCACATCCAAGAGCCGCACGAGCAGTGTCTTGTACGTCGAAAGCGCGGGGGAGCCTTGGTCACGGGCTCGCACCGTCACGTTATACTCTGACACCTCTTCCCGGTCCAGTGCCTCCGATGTCACCAGCGCGTACGCGTCGGCTGCCAGCAGCGAGATGCTGAAAGGTTGCTCACCCGCCAGCTCGCAGGTCGTCCTGCCGTTGTCCCCCGAGTCCCGGTCCCGCACGTTGAAGAGAGCGACCACGGTGTTCGGCGGGGCTGCTTCCGAGAGGGTGCTGGTGAGGGAGGTGATGATCACCTCGGGGGCGTTGTCGTTCACGTCCTCCACCTGCACCTCCACCTTGCAGTGCGCGGATAGGCCCCCTCCATCTGTTGCCTGGACGTCTATCTCATAGGTCTTTGTTTCTTCATAATCCAAAGGCTTTTTGAGTCGAATCTGGCCTGTCTCTGGATTTATTTGAAACGTCTCGAAATTTTCCTTTGAATTTTGAACAATTGAATAGGTTATTTCCCCGTTCGTTCCTGAGTCTAAATCGCTAGCAGACACCACCACCACTAAGGTATCCTGGGAGCTATTTTCCCTAATGGAGACTTTATACAGACTCCTAGTAAATACTGGGATGTTGTCATTTATATCTAGGACTACCACGCGGATTAAGGCTGAACCAGAGCGCGGTGGAGTCCCACCATCCACAGCAGTGATGTTGAAAGCAACTTCTGCCTGCTGCTCCCGATCCAGGGGTCGATCCAACACCAGCTCGGCGTACCTCCTGCCGTCATTTCGCCGCCGGGTGTACACATGGAAATACTCGTTGGAGCTGATACTATAATGCTGAAGACTATTGTTCCCCACATCTGGATCCTGAGCGCTTTCCAACAAAAATCGAGTCTCTGGCATTGCAGATTCCGGGATCTTTAAAACTATCTCTTTATTTAAGAACACAGGAGCATGATCATTAATGTCGGTGAGTCTTACCTCAGCTCGGAAGGACTGCAGTGGGTTCTCCAGCAGCACCTCGAAACGCACCAGGCAAGGCTCACTCTGTCCGCACAGCTCCTCCCGGTCCATCTGCTCTCTCACCACCAAATCCCCTGTGTGCTGGTTCAGCTGTAAATACTGCTTTTCTCCATCAGGAACGAGTCGCGCCTGACGAGCCGATAATTCCTCAGCGGTCAGTCCCAAATCCTTAGCGATATTCACCACAAAGGAACCTCTCTCCGCCTCTTCGGGCACAGAGTACCGAGCGATTTCTGCTCTCATCCCCGAGACACAGAGGAGAAGGAACAGAGCCACCGTTCGCCCCGGGAGCGGCTCCTCGCTCTTCCTCAGCTTCATTCTCCTCCTGCGACCCGATCTCCCCTCCTGCGAGCTGGATGGAGCTGCCGATACAGCCTGCAGACCCCCGGACGGAGCAGTCTGAGATGGTGCAGCCCCGCCCACCCGAATCCCGGGGGCGGCGGAGATGGAAACCGGGAGATGCGTGGAGCCTCCGCGGTCAGCAGTGGCACCAGGCGGCCGATCTGCGAAAGGACGCGAAGATTTCCCAGCACAAAGCCTGGAAAGTAGAGATTAACGGCTCGATTTCTCTCTTCCGAGGTCGAGCAATTCAGATTTAACTGTCCATGCAACCCTGTTCAAATATGGCCACCGCTTGAATAAGCAATATCTCTGTTTGTCTTTTATTTGAAAAAGAGATTTATTTAAATCTGGGGGTTGTAGGGGTTTCTTTTCCTCTCTTTACCCCCTCTAACGTGCCTCATTATAACGATTTGAATAAATTACTTTCAGGTTGTTTAGCTAAAAAAAGTTGTGTATTGTTACAGGCGTCCAACAAACCAAGTGAACTGGTCCGTTAACCACGTCAGAAATCGTCATGATGCTCCCCATAGAAATTCTCGGAATGGACCAAGATTGTTTGCTCAGTTCCCCTCAATCTGAGAGCAACATCTCTCGGCCCCCAACCTGGCTCCTAAAATCCCCCTCCACCTTGCTCCGGCTTCTGAGAACGACCTATTTCCCAGGTGGTTCTGATTTCCCCTGCATAAAATCCACTCCAAATGCACGGATTTATTCCTGAAATCCTGCTCCTTAGGTGGCTATTTCCTCAGCGATGACTGTGACAAGCAATCTCGAGACAGCACACTCACCCGGGGGAGTTTCAAATAGGTTTTATTGTATTCTGTCAGCAGGCATCTAACTCTTAAAAATGTGTTAGCGACAGGAAATGTCACATTATTTTATAGATCAATACCTATTAACGAAGAAAAAGAAAACAGAAAGCTTCTTGAAGACCTACGTTCTACAGTGCCCTAAGTTAATTGTTAACAGTTCAGAGTGATTTACTCTAAAACCACAAGCAGTATTTTTAATTGTCTTCTACTTTACACTAAAAAATCCTTAAATATTAATTTCAATTTTACCTTATTAAAACAAACAAGCAAACAACACCCTCCCCAACAAAACAAAAAAAAAGCACATTGCTCAAAGCCCACTCTTTACAGTAAGGAGAGCCTGTAAACTCCTTCCAAGTGTGCCAATGCCAGTGGTTTCTAATGTAAACAGCTTCTGCCTGTTATTAAGAAATTCCTTTGCAAGCACCACTCAGTTTTGCTTAATATTTGTTTGGCCTAGTATTGAACAGAGAAAAAAAAAAGACATTATTACAGAGCTCTCTCCATAAAAACAAAGAAAACCCACAAAAAAATCCCATAGAAATGGTGGCATAGGAAAAAGCTGAAGATCTGCTGCAGTTTCCCCTTAAGATGTAGAAGCAATAGCACTTTCACAATCATACATTATTGTGTAATCAGCATGCAACACAGTCCTCCTCCTCCGTTGACATCACAATTACAAAATACCTACGTAAATAAAATACTGCTCAAGAGGAGAGTGTTTCTGCTCTCTCACAGAGAAGACCTCATCTCCCTGGTACCTTTTAGGGAGGTGCTTGGTCTCTTTGTTCTCTTTTCCCTGGGAGGACAGACGTACTTGTCTCTCTTCGTTTACTGATGGCTGAGCCAGGGGTTTTGATCAGAAGTGACATTTAACCCCAGCCCCCCGTTTGCAGTGCAAGCTGCTTCTGCAGCTCCGGGTCCTGTGTCTTCAGAGAGGGGGCCTCTGCCCTGCAAAGAACAGAGAGACTGGTTGTCTTTTGGGCATTGAAGGGAAGCAGGTATCATCGAGAAGCTTGGAGGGCATGTCTTACACCACTGCCTGTGTGACACTTCTCTACCCAGAGCCAAAGAGGAGGCTGGTGGGTCTCCGACCTGAACAGGCAACATCTAAAGTCAGAAACCTCCACTGTGGACAACTCAAAGGCACTACTGCAAAACTTTTATGATTCTCGGGGAGTAATTCAAGATGGTAAGAGCCCCAAATAAAAACCCCTTTCTCACAAACAGTAAATGTGGTTTAATGTTGATGTATCAAGAAGGGTTGTTGTCTGCCCTGAAGCTACTGCGGTTCTGAAAACCTGCAGTAAAGTGAGTCCAAGTGGTTATAAAACACTAAAATGTTAAGGGGTGACTTAAGACGGTATTAGAGGTGACTTGGACTCAGTGAGAGAGTGAGGAGTTTCAATGATCATCTCTTGTGTCCCCCACACTCTTTCAACACATGGAAGTTAACAGGAGCTCAGATGTGACTCACTCTGAGTTCACAGAGTGCTGGTACTGCCTGGGAGCACCCGGCTGAGTCAGAAAAAGACTGCGAGGGTGCATTGTAAAGTCCCGATAACCACACCAATACCGTTCATGCAAGTCACAAAAAATAAAAGGGAACTGAATGGCAGAGGTACTCACCTCCGTAGCCTCGAGCAGCTTGAGTTCAGCACTACCACCATCACCCGGGTGAATGGCACTCGGCAGCGCCGAGCACCAGCTCCTAACAGCAGTGCAGGGGACAGTGTCAGTGAAGTGACACCCCTTTGCACAGTTGTCCCCGCAGTCTCATCTGACACTGCACAGGATCACTGCATTCCTACTGATGCCGCCTCAGGGAGGATGTGTCCCTGGAAGCGGTACATTCCTGCTCCCCATTGGCTCCACACAGTGCTTGGACAGGATCCAAAATGGAGACACATTTTCTACCTCTACTTCTCACCTTCTCGTTGTCCAGCTGCTCCCCTTTGCAGTGACACTGAAGACTTGCTTTAACGCAAGCATAGATATGGGTGCAGTTACCCGGAGAGGTGAGAGATGCCTCATCTCTGGAAATATTCAAGGTCAGGCTGGATGGGGCTCTGAGCAATCTGATCTAGTTTAAGATGTCCCTGCTCCTTGCAGGGGAGTTTGGACTCCATGGTCCTTAAAGGTCCATTCCAAGCCAAACTATCCCATGCTTCTGTAATGCAGAGAGGCGAGGTTAGTCAGCATATGGGAAGCAGCTGAACCCCGCAGGATCCTCCTGGGAGGCACCGCCAGCGGCTCTGAGACCCCCCCTTTAACTTCTCCTCCCGCCACAGGGACCCCTCCACTAGCAGCTCAGCAACTTCCTTGCTGTCAGGATGTGACACATCCCCCTATCCTCCCCCCGCGGGCAGGTCCCTCACCTGTGCAGCCCAGTCGCCTTCCTCCCCGAGGTTTGCCACATCTTGCGAGCACACTGAGCTCCGTTGCTCGCCCGGGCCGGGAGGCAGCCCGGCGGGGAAGCAGGGGAAGAGGGGTCTGAGGAACCGAAACTCGCTGTTGACGGTCCCGGCGGCGAAGCAGACATCGTACAGGTAGCTGCGGGGCAGGGAGCCCGCACTGCTCTCCGTGGCTATCGTCGGGAACGTGGGCAAGGTCTCCGTCTCGCTCCGCTTGGCCCGCCGCACCTTCACCACCACGGCGGCCAGCGCGGTGGCGAGGAACAGCGCCGACACGCAGGCCAGGGAGGTGATGAGGTAGAGGGTGAGCGGCCCGTCGGGATCAGCGGCCGGTGCCTCCTCGCTCACCCGTAAATGCGCTTCGGAGAAGCCGTCCACCAACGCGACGGCGAGGCTGGCGGTGGTGGAGCGCGGCGGGTGCCCGCGGTCCCGCACCAGCACAACGAGCCTCTGCCGGGGCGCGTCCCTCTCCGACACGGCCCGCGCCGTGCGCACCTCGCCGCTGTGCAGCCCCACGCGGAACAGCCCCGGCTCCGTCGCCTTGGCCAGCTCGTACGACAGCCACGCGTTCTGCCCCGCGTCCGCGTCCACCGCCACCACCTTGGCCACCAGGTAGCCCGAAGGTGCCCAGCGCGGCACCAACTCTCCCGCCGCGCTGCTGTCGGGGGTCGGGTGCAGCACCACGGGCGCGTTATCGTTCTCGTCCCGCACCACGACGCGTAGCAGCGCCTGGGCGCTGAGCGGCGGCGAACCGCTGTCACTGGCGAGCACCGACACCTCAAAGGCACGCACCTTCTCGTAGTCCAGTGGGCGGAGGATATAAACATCCCCGTTTTCAGCGTTGACTGACACCTCGGGAGGCTCCTTGCCCTCCTGCCGCATCAGCGCGTAGTTCACGCGGGCGTTTTTTCCTGCGTCGGCGTCCGTGGCGTTCATGCTGCCGATCCGGAGCATGGGGCTGTTGTTCTCCGTGACAGACATGGTGTAAATCTCCTGGGTGAACTCTGGGGGATTGTCGTTCACATCCGATATCTGCACGAAGATGTTTTCCCGAGAGCTCAGCCGCGTCCTGCCCCAGTCCGTGGCTGTGATGGTGATGTTATACTGCGCCGTGCTCTCCCTGTCCAGCGCCGCGTTTGTTCTCAGTTCGTAATAATTATCAAAAGTGGGGGTGAGGCTGAATGGCAAGTCCCCGTCGATCGAACACTCTGTCCTGCCGTTGTCCCCGGAGTCCCGGTCCCGCACACTGAACAGAGCCACCACGGTACGCGGCGGGGCGTCCTCGGGAATGGAGGCGGTGAGAGAGGTCAGCGTTATCTCCGGGGCATTGTCATTCATGTCCAGGACTTCTACCTGCACTTTGCAATGCGCAGAAAGCCCCCCGCCATCAGTGGCTTTTACCACCATCATGTGGGTTTTTGCTTCCTCGAAATCCAGGTTGCCCGCTACTCGTATCTCCCCGGTGACCGGGTTCAGCTGGAAGAGCTCCCGGGATCGCTCCGATGTCTGGGTGAAGGCGTACTGCAGTTTCCCGTTGGACCCTTCGTCGGGATCCGTGGCCATAACTCTGACCACCAGTTGCTCTGAGGGGCTGTTCTCAGACAGGCGCACCTCATAGACCTCCCTTTCGAAGATCGGAATATTGTCATTGGCATCCAGCACCACGATCCGGACCTGAGCCGTGCCCGACCTGGGTGGCGAGCCCCCGTCGATGGCGGTGAGAAGTAAATTCAGCTCCCCTTGCTCTTCACGGTCGAGTTCGCGCTGTAGGACGAGCTCCGCATATTTTACTCCGTCTTTCCCTGTTCCGATAGCGAGGGAGAAATACGGATTGGACCCGAGGCTGTAGTTCTGCAAACCGTTGCTGCCCACGTCCTTGTCCTGGGCGCTTTCCAGGGGGAAACGGGACCCGGGAGATGCTGTTTCTAGAATCTTTAAAACTATCTCCTTCTCCGGGAACACGGGGGAGTTGTCGTTTACGTCACGAATCTCCACCTCCCCTCGGATCAACTGCAGCGGATTTTCAAAGAATATCTTAAAGACGAGCGTGCAGGTATCTCTCTGCGGACAGATCTCCTCTCGGTCCAGCGACTCCTTTGCCGTCAGGACTCCGGTGTTTTGATTGAGACGGAAAAGCTGCTCGCTCCCCTCAGACACAACGCGGGCCTTGCGAGCCGCGAGCTGGCTCACAGGAACCCCCAGGTCCTTTGCAATATTGGCGACAAAGGAGTCCCTCTCCATTTCCTCCGGCAGAGAGTAGCGGAGGGTTTCAGCCCCGCTCTGACACACGCAAAAGCACAGAATAAACAAGATCACTTGCCTCTTGCTGTCTCCGCTCCGTCTCCCACACGTCATCAGTCTCCGAAAAAGGCACCCGCCGTCCTCCGCGGCTCCCAACATTTTTAAATAGCGTCCGAAGCGGAGCGGTGTTTGCCAGTAATCTTGGGGTGAGGGAATCTGGAAGCTCCCGAGTATTCCGACTCCTTTCCGAGCAGCTCCCACGGTTTTTTTGTCTCCCTGTGCCTGCAAAGCCGGGGCGGACCGAGGGACGAGCCGGTCCGCGGCCAACATCCCCACCCAGCGTCGGAAGGGCGAATATTTCCTCTCATTCGGGGCAGAGCCGCTGATTCGGGGTTTGCTGCTTGAATGTGCGCTCTGCGTGCCAAAGTGAAGCCAAGAGGTGCCGTGTAAATATTCTCCTCGCTTGGAAGCGGGGTCGCTGCTCTGGGTATCAATTCCCAGCTCGCCAACCGCGAACTCTTCAGACACAGCTTTTGGGTTGGCTCTACGTTGTGTAGGCATTGCAAGATTCACTTCCTCGGCAATCATTGCGAGGTTTTCATTCTCCATTTGTTAACCAGCACAGGACAATTAGCAATTGGGGCGGGTCAGAGAAGCCGCTGAAGATGAGAGTTGGTGCCAGAGAGTTGACAGGGAAGTCACACTAGAAGATAATGCTGGTCTAGGGCACATCATCCTAAGGTTGATTTTTTGCCATTGGATATCACATCTCGCCCGAAGGACACTTGACACTTCAACACTTTTCTGTGTGAAAAGCGCTTTTCTCCTTAATTGACAGGAGTTTCCTCCCCTGTCGCCTGCTGATCATTGCATCCATGATAAGGCGTGTCGCTATGTAACACATTCCTGAAAAATGTCCCCAGGCGTACACAAGCATCGAAACGCTGCAAAATGTTTTCATGTTTTGAAAGTGTAATGTCCTTTCCCCTCTAATGTTACCACACAGGGTTAGGAATATTTTAAAGGTCCCACCTTAGAGATAAAACCTTCACTCTTGTACTTGTCTGAGGCCAACAACTAGTTAATGCAAAAGGCAAGGAAACAAACACAAGAGCTCATAAATTAAGCACCTAGATACACAGAAGCTAATGAGGAGCTAACGGAGACAATAGCAAAAATCAGGGATCTAATTACGCTAATTAATGGGCCATTAAAGGATTTATTGAAGTATAAACTCCAGAGGTTCAACAAGAAGCTTTGTACAGGACAAAAGGGGAAAAAAGTTCTAAAGATTCTCATATATTACCAGAAAGAGTCTCACAAGAGAGAAGAAACAGATTACGAGATGGTTTATGGGGGATTTAGGAATATACAAAGCTTATTACGAGATAGTTAGAGGCAGGACCAAACTCGCTAAGAGGGAGAGATCAAGAGCAGACCTGTGAGGAACAACCGTGGGAAACAGAGGTGGAAGGGGACACCGAGGGGTTCTGAGCACGCCTGGTAGTTGAGGCAGGATCTGTGCTGGAGACCGGTTAAAACCATGAGGGTCAGGCACTCATGGCTGTCCCAGAGCATCGACATCTCAGCTGTTTCTGCGGTGAACGCACACACAGTGTGCTGGGGATGCGTCCAGGTGCCCGCGAGCCCAACCCAACCCTCCTCTTAGAGAATTAAAAAAATGGAGGAGAAAACAGACTACAACTTGCACCGCTTATTTTTGGTTCGAGCAATTTTCATTCAGATTTTACTATAAAATGAACTGCACTTTTAAAGTATTATTATAAAGTATCACAACCTCCTGGGTTTTGGCTCTTTTCCTTTAACTTCCTAGATGTTTTCCCCTTGTTTTTGCTTGCTAAAAGGGCTGATGCTCTCAAATAATACTCACGAGGTCCAGTCCTAGAAATTCGTCGGCACTTTCATTTTTTTCCAAATAAAAGCTTATGAGTATATGAGTAGGAGAAAGTAACAAGAGTTGATTTAGGATCCCTCAGAAGTTTAGATACTAAAGGATCTTGTACGAATGCAGTCATTTTTTTGTGATTTCCTCTTACAGCCCCTTGACTGAGAGGCTCTAACTTACATCAAAGGGCAGCTCAGCTGTTTCTTCTCCTCTTCCCTTCCATGTCCACCTCTCGAGTTGCGATTATCATCACCAACACAAAAGCTTGATGTAAAACCAACCACAGCTGGGGAAGTGGCTTCTCTCCTCTTTCGTGCCACGCAAAAATAACTGTGGCACCTGGAATCCATTTGCTTTGTGCCCCTTTGTTTAGCTCTCGGCACCTCCGAGAGAGGAAAGTGTATTTATTTCTACTTAACCTAATCTTTGGCACCGCGGCACAGCAGGGAACAGGAACAGGCCGAGAGGAGCTTCCACAGATGCTTCATACCCTGACTGCAGTAGCCCCATAATTTTTGGTCCTATCATTTAAGAAGGCAAATGGTGTCTTTCAGCTTCAGGTGTAGAAGGGAGTAAGAAGAACAGCGATCCTTAACGGAGCTCTTGGCTGTGAGAGTGTCTTTGTATATAAGAAACTCTGGTCTTCCACTGAAGTCTATATTCTTTCAGATTTTAGAGAAATGCGAAATAAAGAGGGTCACTTACCTTGCAGCACTGGAGAGCTAATGCTGGTGTTTTCTGTTGGGTCACAACAATAAAATGAATTAAAAAAAAAATAAAGGAAGTTTGAACGCTGCCAGATGAAGGCACACTGTATTTTAGGACAGACTGAGGAGCTATAACCATAATTAGGATATAATTTGCATAAATGTGTCAGAGAATTCACTTATCTCCTTGAACACATAGTGATATTGCAGGCTTCCTCATCTCTGGTTAATGATGACATCTTTATCCTAAGAAGATAACTTAAAATTACCAAAAAACCCAGTTCTCTCTACTCCGATATTTACAACTGAATGCTAGAAAAGCACTACAGCAACATATTCTGCTCAGTTCCTGGTGTGTCCCTGAATTTCAGAACACAGTGTTCCTAAAAGAAAACTCCGCCCGCACTTCCCCAGCCTGAGCAATTTCAGTTTCCAAAATCTGCCGGATGAAATCTGAGAGGCCCCACGCCTTTAACCCCTGATAAAGGTTTCTTCCCCATCCCCGGAGTCCCTGAGGATAGAATGGCTTGGGAGGAGGCGTTGCCTGGAGAACGAAAGCACAGATGCTTCCCCGAGTCGCTGTGGTTTCCATGCCTGATGCAAAGAGGGACCAACGTTCCTGTCCTCTCCTTCCCAGCCATCTCCCAGGACTTCTTCTTTCGTCTCTATAACGATCAGGCAGCACTGAATTCCCAGCTCTCCCGCGGAACTGCTGCCTGGAACTCTCAGCAGGACGCAAACGTCAGGAAAGCCAGGAGAATCATTCGCAGACTCGGTTATATTGTAAATACCACTGGTAGCTGTCCTAGGTTTGGTTCATTTTCGGAGAGATAAACCCGCCTCCTCTCTCTGCCTGCATTCTGTTCGGTTAAGGCTTTCCCCATCGCTCTGTTAAAAGTAAACATTTATTTCTCCCGGTATTAACTCGGTGCTTACCAACCAACCGACTCTGTCTGAGTCACCCCAGACCTGCGGCGAAATCCTCCCAAAACCCTCAGGGCTGGACCTGGGACACCGCCTCTCTCCTTCACAATCCCTGCTTTGCCTTGTGCTCGCAGCGTTTCCAGGTGCGTCTCGATGCGACGATTCCCAGCGCATCCTTTGGAAAGGCTTTAAACCGGGTCTTATTCCATTGCAGCGGGGGCCTTTCGACTGCGCTCCCAGCAGTGTCTCACTGGTGCTCACCGGTCTCCCCCCGGTCCCGCCCAGCAGCAGCAACACCCGCCCAGCGCTGGCCAACATCGCCACTGGGCGACCAGCGCAGGAACTGCACCGGGGCGTCTGCCCGAGCCCCAGCGCGGAGCTCCTCTCTCGGCTTCTGGCTGTCGCAAGGACAAATTCTGAAATACCTCTCCCACCTGAAGTCTTTGGCGAACAAAAGCGCTTTCTCAGTACTTATCGAGGCATTTGGTTTGAGATTAATAATCCAGGCAAGCATGAGACGTCTTCCCTGAGCCTTCTGTCGAATGTGCTTAGCAAGGGATCGAGCAAACGTAGCAATCGTTGCTCACGTGTTGTGCACTGCATTTTCCAGAATTCAGGCAATAAACGCGTTTTCAAGCACAGCCTGTTTGTGGGAGGCTGAATTTTGAATACTCTCTCCTTCACAAGGAGATCTCCAACTGTTTGATGTCTTCTAAAGTATTCTACAGTTAAGAACTAATTCAGGATTAATACCAGCACAGACCTCCTCTGACCCTTGAATCAACTGCAATAGATTGACAAAGAATATCTCAAAGATGAGCGTGCAGGTATCATTCTGTGGACAGTTCTTCTGTCAGTCCAGTGACTCCTTCACAGTCAGTGACTCCTTTACATCAGGACTCGGGTGTTTTGGGTGAGGCAGAAGTGCTGCTTCTCCTCAGACACAGTGGAGAACACATTTCTTCCCAGGCAGCAGTACTTCCTTTCTAATAAAATCAGTTCATGAGGCCTTCTGCTCTAGGATCTCCCAGTACACATTCCAGCTTCGAAGAATAAAGGAAAATTCCCTGCTTCAAAAGTCTGAGTTCATACATCTTCTCAGAGACATTCTGCACTCTCCAGTCTCCAAAGATAGTGCTGGAGAGAAGATACATCCCAGACTGAAAGAGAGCAGGTTTAGATTGAATATCAGAAAAAAATTTTCCCTGTGAGGGTAGTGAGTCACTGGAAGAGGTTTCTCTGAGAAGCTGTGGCTGCCCCATCCCTGGAAGTGTCCAAAGCCAGGTTGGACAGGGCTTGGAGCAACCTGGGCTAGTGGAAGATGTCCCTGCCCTTGGCAAGGGATTGGAATGAAATGAGCTTTAAGGTTTCTTCCAACCCAAGGCATTCTCTACCCATATCTTTTTCATCCTGCATCTTTTGAATGCAACAAATTCTTTCTCTCTTCTCTCCAGCCATGACAATCACAGTACTTCTTGTTTGGAAATAAATCCTCTCACTTTCAACACTTTGTTGCTATGAATGTCTTTTGAAGTCAAGTAATTATTCTCATCTTCATAAACTTTGTTCTTAGTGGGATCCAATTTTTCCATCCTCAGCCTCACTCTGCGGAAATTTTCTTCACAAATCCCTAGAACTGTGTGGGGTTTTATGTATCAAATGGCCCACAAATAATATTTTTATTTCTAGATATCTTATATCTTGATGTGTTTTGAGGGAGGAAAACCTCATCTGTTGAGATTTTTTTTTTAAAATTATTTTCTTGTGTCCATTTTCTGTATGACTCCTTCCACAGTTTCCTGTGGTGGCTGTTTTAGTTGACTCAG